GGGGCAACTGCGACAGTCCACGCAATGTCCACTAAAAGTTTAAATCGTTATTCTGGGTGTTTGCAAAGAGTAATCATGACATGTCTCGCTCGCTCGGTGTGAAGTCTCACTCCAGAGTCTTGCGAGATTTGGGTTGTTGCACGAAGACCGAGGTTCAAAACGTGAGTCAGTTCGTAAGTTGGATTGTGTCTGCGTCTTTTCCTGATTTGGACAATCTGTCCGACCTTGCTGTCTGTCCCTACTTGTTTAAGTTGAATATATGGACAAAGAGTAGAATGAAAGGCAAAAAGAAACAGAGGTAGCTGCTGGACGGTTGTGAAGCTTGTGGTGGACATTTCTGTCGCATCCTGCCCCATAAGATTACACTATCTACTGGATCCCAAAGGTTTAAATAAGTACCGTTCATTTATCAACAAAATAATAAATATAGGATGCGGGTTGAGAAATACCATGTGTCTGCAGTGCAAGGACTTTGGTCCTCGAGGAGCTGGTCAGAGGAGAGTGACTGCATGTTGCTGATCTGGCACTTTCCATCACATCTGATTTATTTTCAGAGCATAGATACCCCAAACTAAATTACGCTGAGGAGAGACTAATCATGAGAGCAGGCTGGTACTCAGATTAAGAATTTACCGCCTTGAATTCCGAGAATTCTAACTTTCCATGCATCCATTTTTCCGAATCGTTAACCTTTTATCCAAGCTTCCCCTCCTTCAGCAACCTCCTTCCTCTTTCTCCATGATTTAAGGACCTCCTTGGCTCGTCTGTAATTAGTTTATTTCATATTGGAAGCAGTTATAAACCTTATCCCCTCCGATGAGAGGTTTTGGCTCAACTTTAATAGCACACATGAAAGCGAAGCTCGATAGTGAGCAGAACCTTCCTGATGATTATAGAAGCCATTCATCTATTTCTTTTACTTTTCTCGGGGCGGAAACACAAAGCATGTTTCCTCGACCTTGTGTTTTATTTTAGCAAATGGTTCCTTTAACCCATCGTCTCCCCTTTACTTGGTCTTTAACACACTCAGGACTCAGAAGACCCCTGAAACACGTTTTAGCTCCAGAAGTCACCAGGGGGATTTTAGGGGATTGCTTCATTTTAATATTAGTCTTTCCCTCATTTTCGCTGTCTTGAGGAACAAGAGCTCTGTTTCCCACTGTCTCCGCTCTGTTGCTGCTCTGACATGTTGAAGTGTGTCATCTCCCTGCAATGCCAAGACTTTGGCTGAGCAGCTCCCAGCGTGATCAGACCGCAGAGCGTTTCTTCATCTATTGTGTCAACCTTTTTAAAAATAGCTCAGTTCGCTTCACAGAGCTGCAACAAAAAGGCTGAAAGAAAATTCCTATAACGTGAGACTAATCTTTCTTTCTCTAAGTACATTATTATAAGGATGCAGATAAAAAAGAGGCTCATAATGATTTTGCCTGAGGGCGAGCACTGTCAACGTATCAAAACATCATTTCAAGCAGTCATCTTAAAATGATTTACGTTTCTGTGTGTCAAAAACATAACGTCTATGAATCACAGAGCTCTTTTCACAAGGGCTGTCACTTTTTCAAAAAAAAAAATTTATAATGCAATTTATTCTAATTTATTTGACGTCTTTGTCTGCTAGCGTCCTTACTTTGTCGTAGAACCAAACATTACTGGCTTACTCGAAACCACGGCAACTCCTCATACTCCGTGACTCCAAATTACAATGCCAGCTCAAGATGGAGGCTCACGGATATATAAGATATCTTGGCTTCATATTTGTACAGCGGGAGAAAGTCATCCATCTTTATTTATTTATTTGAGTCTCTGAGCAGGATCTGTATTTAAATGAACATGATTTTATTGGTTGACTCCTGAACTGCCACTTCTAAGTCCTCTAGCTTCTCCCGAAAGTAAAGCGCAGTGATTCCAATGTTGGGCAAAGCGAATGAGCAGTTTTTCCGTTGAAGCTTGCAACGTGCTCATGTTTTTGCTGAGTAAACGCTTCCCCGTCTTTAAGCCAGACTCTTTTCTCTAACATCACAGATAAAAACCGACGACATCACATGGACCACTTATCTGCTGCCGGGCCTTAGTCATGCTTTCCTGGCTGCAGCAGATACTTAGAGGGATCCTGAGTCTTTAATTTGAGCAGGTCTGTCAGCACGTCTACCTGTTGTGCAGCCACGCTCTCCGGGGGGTGGGGGGGCCAGAGCAGAATGAAGTGAGCTGTATTGAGCTCAAATAAAGAAATTATGGTGTTTGCTGTCATGAGAACATGTTTCTGGCTCACGGTGTAATCGCTCCGACAGTTAAGGGATGATATCAGCTCTTCCACACACCAGAGCACAGCTTCAACAGGTTTGGACTCTGTTGACGGGCTGATGATACGATACCCAGAGTTCACTGATGACACTAATGATCTGTGTCCGAGCAGCTCATCTCACAGTCTGAAGAAGAGGTGAACGTAGGGTCACCTGCACGTGTGACCCCCTCGAGGTGACCCTGCCTGGATGACTCTGACCTGGACCTGACCTCTGACCTCAGCTCTGACCAGCTGCTGCCTCCGGCCGAGTGAACAACATGGTCAGAAAGTCAGAGAAAACCAGTCACAGGAAAACATGAAGAAAAACATGATGAAACAAATGAAGCCGATGTGTAAGCAGTTAAAGGGAAAACTTGGTCATCAATGTAAAAACAAGATCCAATGTGCAATTGATGAATTATCGATATATTAAACAGAGAGTTGCTTTAAAATGTCTTATTTACATGGTTTTGTATTTATTTGATCATCATTCACCTTCACACACTAAACACAGGGCGCAATTAAACAGATTTTTTCCGAATTTATGTATTAATTGTTTTGTCCATGACATAATAAAGTTAACAGAAGTTGATCCAATCATTTATTCATATTACTGCTTTTGATGAACCAAAGGTCTGAGACTTAAAGTGATTCAGTTTATGGAGTGAAGCACCAAATCTTCAACTCATGAGAAAAAGTTAATAAATCTCTGACATAAGTTCAACAATTTGAAAAAGACTAATTCTAATAAATACGGGACAAGTCCATCGTGAGGGTTCAAAGCCATCAACATGCTCTCAAGTTCACAGCTCTGGCTTTGTAATTACAGGTTGAGCCGAGGTCCCTGACCTCCAGGAGTGTTTAACATCTGAGTGCATATCGGAGGAGCTGTACATGAACTGTAGTCCAAACAGAGCACCTGTCAGGGGAGCCCGTGGCCCCTGACAGGACATGTATCAAAGTCAGGAAACCCCAACAATGTGGCCCCGCGGTTAGAAATGTTCTGTTTCACAGATGACAGCAGCAGAGCAGAGGTACATGTTGTTAATGAAGTGGTGTGTGGGTGTTTCATGAGAAACAGGCTGCGTCCAAAAATCACTCCTTAATCCATTCATTCATTCATGTTTAGTCTATAGAGTGTCAGAAAATGTCCAAGGGGACAAACGGGCGGTTCTGTCCGATCAACAGTTCAGTTCATAGCTGGAACCGGCAGCTTTGGTTAATTGAGTTCAGCATAAAGAGTGAAAACAGAGACGAGACAGATTTAGACTCAATTAAAAAGCAGACAACAGAAACAGTGAAAGAGACAAACGAAGACAGATGATGAGAAAGAGTCGCAGCTGAGGACGATTTCTAACTAACGACCGAGACGAAGCTGGTGCAGCTTGTTCCAGCAAATATTCTGCACAACACAAAACAGCGGGAGACGTCTCTGTCGTCCATCTCATCACAAAGGCATCCCGGCGCTGTCCTGATGGAGAAACACTGAGTCTGGTGGGGCTGGCATGGTCTGCTATGTGTGTTTAAATCAGGAGTGTAGTCTGCAGCACTACTGTAACAAGAACCAGATCCTCACTGGTTATTTCAGATTCATTTCCAACTACTTCAGGAACGAGGTTTTTATTTAGTCTGAATATTGAAATACTGGGAGAAATCAAGTGATAAGATTTCACAGCAGCTTTACTACGAAAGTTTTTCTCTAATTGGTTTTTTGGGTGTTACTGGTTACAAGAAGACTCATATAGACCGTGTGGTTGCAGAGATATTAAACTTTAGTCGTGTCATTTTCGAGCACAGGCCTGAGAAACGAGTCTGAGAAAACATTATTGCACTGACGTATTTCCAGAGGTGCAGCAGATGTAAGCTGCTAAAATATAAAGACATTAACCGATTAATCAGAGCAGATTTTCAGCTTCAACACCCGGATGAACTTTTGTGCAGGCGGCAACAACGAACGACGAGCTGACAAAGACTAATGGGCCAGAACACAGACAGGTCATGTACACACACACACACACACACACACACACACACACACACACACACACACACACACACACACAGGTTATGTTTGTTTTACAGATGGAGACCGATGAAAAAAACGAAACCAGTGAAACCAGACCAGAGGTTGGTAAATGCACGACTGTAGCCGCCCGCCTGTCCACAGCTGGATGTGATCACCACGACGACTGGTCATCTGCACAGACTCTCCGTCTAAAGCGTTCGGGTCACAGCTGCAAAACCAGGCAACTGTGTTTTCTATTTGTTTGTTTTCTCTTAACACCATAAATGAAAAAGGGGTTTTCATCACCGTGACCTTAAAGAGCACTGGGATGTTTCTCAGCGATAAATATGCATCGACATATTTCCACTCACGGTTCTGCCAAAGCTCAAAAATGACTCATCCTTGGGATCGCCCAGCAAATCCTCCAGGTCGTTCGAGGACAGCAGGAGATTCTGCGAAGACACAGACGGGGACAATTTCCAAATGAAACAAAAGTTCATCTCCGATGAACAAGTTGTTCAAGGATCAAAAGCACGTAAATCAGTGCATTTCTGCTTTCAATCCTCTGATGATCTTTTATCTCCTCAAAAAGCCTCCTGGCTTCACCTTCAACACCTGAGGAACATGTCGGAGCTTTGCATTTTACACAAGTCGACAGAAACATAACAAGCGTTCATTTTCGCTTGGCTTTCTTTTGTGTTCATCTTTCCTCACCTCCAGGAAGTTGTTGGTGCGCGGGGAGCGAGGAGGCTTGGGGGCCGTGGCGCTGCAGCGGGGTGGGTGGTGGCTGCAGTGTTGCTGGGCGGCGTCCGGGTCGTCCATCAGGAAGGTCAGCTGTCGCAGGTGACCCTGCAGAGACGGAGACGTCAGACGCAGCGTGAGCGGACGACACACAAACATTCAATCTCTAAAATCTGTTTTATCTTTGCACATTTCCAGTAAATCCTTATATTTCAAGTTCAGGCTGTCCAAGGCCTCACCAGAGTAACGGGCCAACATGGGGTCGGTATTCATAAAATACACGTTACAGCAGGTCATTCGTTTCACTGCAGTTCCTGCACTTCTTCAGTGACTCTAACATCAGTTTATAAGAATGTGAAGGTGGATGAGAGAGCATCTGTGTGTGTGTGTGTGTGTGTGTGTGTGTGTGTGTGTGTGTGTGTGTGTGTGTGTGTGTGTGTGNTGTGTGTGTGTGTGTGTGTGTGTGTGTGTGTGTGTGTGTGTGTGTGACAGATAAGCATCACTTTACTGGGAAACCACCACACACACACAGATCAGATCTGTAATATTAAAATGTAAATGTCTAATTGTTCAGACGTGCTGGTTCACATCACACAAATTAGAAAACTAATTTCAACAAGCTGTCTGATCTCACATCAAATCCCACAACAGGTGGAAAGTGGGAAATGGGAAAGGGAACGAAACCTTATTCACAGATATTTCGTTTCTGCAGAACCGCAAAACCTGCGACACGACGTTTCACTGCGTTTTTTTTATCATCAAATTAATAGTTAAACTTATCAGAGTCATGAACACTTGAACATTTGTCGGTGTGATAAGAATGACCGAAAGCGACGGAAACAAAGTTGAGAGAAAAACACAACATTGACTTTTTAGTTTGGTCTCATCTGCTAACGTGGAGGAGGTTTGTGGAGTAATCTGAAGCCAGCCACCAGAGGGCGCTAGAGACACTTTGGCTTCACTTTTAGGGAGCAGTCATCTCATCCCTCTTCATACACAGTCTGGACAGATGAGTAATATCAAACCTGGCAACCATCACCCGAGAGATTAAATGAATTGTGAGACATGCAGCATCCTGTTGAGAACCTGATGAAAAACTTTGTGTGGATCAGAAAGTTGTATAATGAACTTAAAAGACCTTAAAGAGGAAGGTGATATGATGAGACAGGTGGGAGAGCCTGGAAACATTTCTAAAAACACACAGAGTGACACTAATGGCTTTCAAAACAGAATCCAACTACAAAACCTCTTTAGGTTGTTAGTTTCCGTCATACGCTCTCCAGAGACGGGACTGTCACCACCTCTGATTGTGGAAGAGCTCCGTCCTTGGAGCGCCGTAAAAACATGTCGTCAGGGACGCGAGTCGACGGAGAATCCATTCTGTCTGGTGCTAACAACAAATCCAGATGCCGCCTCTCAAATTCTTCTCCTCACCCCCGTGATGAGAGAGTCACACTCTGGCCGCTCTGATCCTCGGACCATGTTTTCACTCCCGTCCAAAACCCACAGGACCAATCACTGAGAAACTTGGCAGGAGGATGAGGCGCAGGTCAGAGAAGAACCTTTTACATTTAGCTGCGGCTCCAGGATTGTTTCGATCATTTTATTTTACGTTGCGAGTTAGAGTGTTCTTGACGAAAAGAGATCAGGACGTTTGGGTGTTTAGGCGACTGATATTTATGAGTCTGTGTAATTTGGTGCAGATCTATTTTCAAATGTGGTTTCATAAGACGACTGAGTGGAACAGAATACCCACAATGCTTAGAAAAGTGCATTATGGGCTGTCAAAGTCCGGCTATAATGGTAGTTTAACACAAAACAGTGATGTCAGTTTGACGTAGAATCGTGACGACTGGACGGAACCTCAGTTAAGTTTCTTGAGTCTTTGATAGATTTACTGAAATAAAAGAAAAGTGCACTAGTTCAAAAATAAACGCATCGATCTAAGAGTGTAATCGTTAGAGGACTGACAGTTTATAATTACTTAACAGTTTGCATGTTTCCCTTTATGGTTTCCTCCCGCAGTGCAAAGACATGCAGGTAAACAACAAAGTGAAATGACCTCATGTTGAAAGCAGAACAGCGAGTGGGGGGGGGGGGGAGATACTTAACTCATCCTCTGTCCAAACACTCATCAGTGTTTCCCCTGTAATTTGATGTAACGCTGGTGCATGGGAGGTGATTGAAGTTGTGGTTAGAGCAGCTTACAGGGATTTCTACACATACTTTATCAAAACAAACACATGGTATCTAAGCATTACAGGCTGCACTTCTCTGTGTCTGTGATGAAAGGGTGAACAGGGTGGGATCGGGCCGCAGAGATGGAATATCTACTTGTGTGTTCTTTCCTCTTAGTTTGTGTGAGTGTGTGTGTGTGTGTGTGTGTGTGTGAGCACGAACAGATGTGTGTGTCCTTTTTCGGACAAAATTCAATTGAACTGAGCTTGAACACGTGTTTTTTTATTCTGACACCGTTATTTTGAATATCATCTGGCCGATATAAAAAAAACCACCCAGTCATAAAACAGGTTTTATGACACAACTGAAAAATCTAAAAGTGGATCATTTAAAATCCAACGGTTCAGACACCCTGAGGTTCATTGTTTCTTCAGTCGAGGGTTTGACCTGAGGTTTGTGAAATAAAACTTAATGAATTCACTTTCTGGGCATCTCCTAGATGTTAGAAAAAAAAGGCCCGGCTGAGGGTTTGAGGGAAAAGAGAACATCGAGGTACCGCCCTGTGCAGTTTCTGCCAACATACATTTCTTTTCCTAGAATCATATGAGGTCACTGTGACCTTTGACCTCGGACATCAGTTCATCAAGAGGCCAGAAACATGTTTTCTGCGGCCACCGTGCACTTGACCTTAAATCACCCAAATCTAATCAGTCAGTCCTCGAGTCCGACTGAACATTCGTGCCAATTCGACAAGATTCTCTCGAGGTGCTGTAAGATAATTGGTTCGTGACGCAAAAAGCGGTTTTGTGAGGTCACGGTGAACTTGACCTATGACCTTTAACCACCAAAATCAAATAACGTCATGGTTGAGTACCACATTTAAAGAAATTCCCCCGAGGTGCTCCTGAGAAGTTGCATTCTCAAGATCATAAAGGTGATTTTTTGAGGTGACTGTGACCTTTGACCTTTGACCTTTGACAACCACATTCTAATCAGTTCATCTGTGGGTCCAAGTGAATGTTTGCACCAAATTAGAAAGTAATACCAAGAGTTGTTTCTGAGATATTGCGTTCACAAGGCAAAACATTTGCTTAGACAAACAAAAAAAAGTTGTATATAAAAACCTCTTACTTCAAACGGGGTCTCGAAACTCTCAATGGTGCCCCCGACCATGAGCAGCCCGTCGGTGCTGATCCCCAGGCCGTGGTGCACCCAGTCCACGCTCTCCAGCAGAGAACAGTCCACATACACCGCTAACCGCTTGGCCGACACACTGACGGCCACATGGTGCCACTTCCCATCAGACAGACCGCCGACTGGGAACCTGACGGAGACACACGGGGCTCATTATGTAACCACGTCTCTGGTTTTGGATGAACGTGGAGATAAACCGAAACCACGCTCGGGCCCTCTGACGGTGAAAAGATAATTAAAATGCAGATGTGTTTCATTCCTCTGTGAGATTCAGGCACTGGGTCAGAAGAGTTTTGGCCTGAGGAAGAAGTTTTGGGCTTTTAGGAATAAATGTCAGTTTGAAACACTGTTGATGGATCATATTGTCGGATGATGTTACAACAATGAATCAGGAACAATATTTAACCCTATAAACAACTGAATGAGCCCTTTATATTTAAATACTTTATATTTACATCTGGAACAACAACATGCAACAAATCCATCTTATCACTTTGCACAGCAGGGACAACATCTAACTTATTTTAACGCAACAAATTCAACAATTCACTGAATGTTCATACAGCTCTTCTGTACGGTTTTGTTTTAATCATGGTTCGTTTGTTTGTCGTAGTAGCACGATTACACAAAAGCTACTTGACCGATAACATTTTGGAGCAGATTTAGATAAATGGGCGGATCTTTCTGCTGTTTTTAACGTGGTGCAATAGAACGTTCGTCATCTGGGATGTTCAGTGAGCCCTTCACGTTCAGTTGTGCTTCTGGTTTTTTCCATTAGGGGCCGCTGTCACTGGGTTTAAATTCTATATTCAGTAGTTGTGGCCAGAGATGCTGGTGCTAGTCCAACGCTTAGTGGCAGTAAACGACATATAACCTTTGAAATGATAATAACAAGCTCTAAAATAAAAATCAATGTGCTAACAACACATGATCGCTGCAGTTTCTGTGTGTGTCTATATCTCTTGGCTCGGTTCTGTCGGCTGTCTCACGGTGATATATTACTTCGAGCTCTGTGGTGGTTGAGGAGGAACAAGCTGCCAAGAGACGCTTAATAAATCATTCCCCCAAAAGAGTCAGCCAAACACAATCCACAGTCAGACAAATACACACATGTTGCAAACAAATACACACCTCCGAAGAACCTGCCTTCATCTCACAGACACATTTACACAAACCTCCGCCAAGGAGCAGGAACGGGCATGAGTCATCCCCAATTACCTGAGATGGATGTTGTAATCACATTCTGACATCTGGATTTTTTGGGATAATGGGTAATGCATAAAAGTTGACATGAATAAAAGTTTCTCAAAATGCACGCAATACATACAAGGTTCACTCAATTTGTATTAATTTGGGGCTGCAGAGTCGAATGAAAGATCGTATAAAAAAGTGCGCTCACTCATAGTGTCGTTGCTGTGTTCCCGTGAAGATGAGGGCGAAGGCGCTGACCCGCAGTTGCAGCATCACCTGGCTGTCGGGGCTGAGCATGGTGAAGACGCTGCGTTCTTCTGTCTGAGGACTCATCAGCTGCACCAGTAAACTGAAGTCATCTGCAAAACTACGCACAAACACAAACTTCAAGCCGAATGAAAAGAAAGGGAACCAACACACTGGACCTTTAAAGGCAACATTAAAGAGGCGGGGGGAGGGGACTGTACCCGTCAGGGAAGAGCTGTCGCAGAGGAACGGCCAAGGTGGAGTACTGTCCCACCTGCAGCACTGGACACCTGCTGTCCTCCACAGTCATCGAGGCGTTGCTGCTGTTCGACACGTGAAGCGAAAGCTCCTGCAGAATGTTCACCTCATCTGTAGAGTGACAGGAAATCATGTACATCGATAAACACAAACATACCAAACTCCCTCCTCCAATATTTCTTTAATACTGAGGAATCTTAAAAAGTTCTGGGGTTATAATCAGAATTAAGAAGTGCCATTGTCTATTTCGTCCCATGCCTGGATATGATAACTCCCCTTGAGTCCTGTTTTGTTTGTTCAAGTATGAAAATGCACACATCCAGATCCAGCCTGAGATGTTTTACCGGCCTGCACAACCCCCTCCAACATTTTTGGAATGATTGAGAACATGGACCCCCATCATCTATAACATCAGTGGCTCACGAATGCTGCTGTGTCTGCAAATCTCTGCTTCCAAGGCTACAAAAAAAAAAAAACCCAAATGAAGAGTGGAGGCGCTTTCCGCTGCAGATGAATGGCCCTGGTTTTGGAATGAGATGTTCAACAATCACTTAAGCGTCTCATGTTTTGGGGAGTCTACATACTTTTGGCCATTTAGCAAACGTTCTGCTCTGTTTTCAGATGAGGGGACCCAGGCGGCAGCCATCTGCAGCAACCAAACCAAATTCATTCATCTGTTGGCACTTAGCAAAAGCCTGCGAACAGACCGCTCAGTTATGGCATCACTAAGCAGCGGAAAACCACATACAGGGTATTTGTCGTTCAAAAGCTGCAGAGGGCTGCAACAAATTCCACCAGACTTAAGTTTCTTTCATGTTTTTGGTGTCCGACAGTGCAGGTGATGGTTTTACTCCTCACCCACTGAATTATTTTCCCATCACGTGACGTAAGCTTTCAGGGAATCCTCTATATTCATGCATGTGAGCAGGTAAAGTTCCATTTGTCATGTCGTGCCCACGGGTACGGGTGAGTTTTGTTGATTACCACTGTGCTCCTCCTGAGGACCATGAACACATGTCTGCATATTTGGAGGGAGTGCGTCAGCGCTCAACGACTGGCATGGTTGTAAGCTAATCACGCTCTAACATGGGAACGGACTGAGATCATTCCCCATTTAAATGGCAATCTCGTTATGTGAGAGGTGGTGCAGACGCTAACCAGGAGAAAAATCCTTTAACCTAAAGAGCATAAAGTGTCCTGTAAGTGTAGCATAGAGATTGCAAGAGCAGCAACCTGATGGGATTTAATCAGCATCTCTGAATGTTTTCAAAAGACACAGGATTACTCGTGCAGATTAAAACCAATACTCTCCTGAAGCTGTTTCATAAATAATTCCACGTCTTTCAGCCCCTCAGCCGTTTACAAATCACCGGTCACACTTTGCTGCCCCACAGGAACGACTGGTGTCACACTAAAAATTCCAACATTCCAGCCTTCCAGGAATCCTCAAAGATATATGGATGAGAACCACGAAGAGCGAAGAAAAATGATTTGAACGATGGTCGAAACTGCACTTTTAACCTCCAGGTAGCAGCCAGCAGGGACATGAGGTCAAATAGTTGACAAATCGGTAAACAAGACATCAATTTTCAGATTTGAAGAGGGGCTGAGGAGGAGCGGACATTTTTACTCGATGTCAAGGCCCGTGAAACAAATGTATAATCCAATTTGCAGAGACATGCAGCATGAGGTCAACGCCTTCTGTGATTCGATTATAATGAAGAAATATGCAAACCACAGCTGGAGATGCTGCAAATGTTGCTCGACATGAAGCTCAGGTTCGTCTTTTACCCAAACACAAGCCAGTTCAGCAACAACAGGATTAAATGGCAAGAGATGTAAATAAAATACTTTTTGTTAAATGTCATGCGCGGCTCTAGAGCGAGATTTTCAAAGTTTGTCATCAGAGTTACTTAAGATTTGGTTTGAGGTCGCAGATACGAAGTTTAGGTTTAGAGTTTAAAAGATGTGGGAATATATCAGTTTGTTTGCAATATGGGAAAAGTACAATGTTAATTCATACGACAAACTAACAGGCTGAATATTTTCTAATTCTTTTAATTCGATCACATTATTGATTCTTTATTTATTTGGCTTCATCAGTCGTGCCTGTAAAGACTGGGTAGTGATTTTCCTTTTTTTCCACATGTAAGAAATGAAAGAAACTATTTTTGTCACAACAAGAGTACGAGTTTACAATCACGTCATCACTCTCCATTAATGTGTGATTATGATAATTATCACGCGACCATTCTGCATTTTTTAACCAGAAAAGTTCTTGTGTTTGCCGCCATTATTTTTACCCATAATTACACAAACTTCAAACAAGTTACAAATTGCAATGAACCATAACGACGTCATTTACATCAATCACACAATCCACAAACTCCACTGTCACAGTGAGAAGTGTGTGGGTTTGCTGATGCTACAATATCTTCGATGAGCAGTAATTTCCAGTCCCTGGAACTAGAGAACGTTCTCACACACACTTACTGATCTAATGCTCCGATGGTCTTTAATAAGCCCCACTTGTGTGGGAGTACTCATGAAAGAACATTTCATGTACCAGCAACGTGCCCTCGAGGAAAAAAAACTCGGAACATGCTCATGTGCTTCTCTCCCAACACTATAATCAAAAGATCAAGCCATTAAGATGAGGAGGGGGGGGGGGGTGCCAGTCATGCCTGTTCTGTTTCCTGCAAAAGTAAAACAGATGTTTGAGTCCTGCATCAGGAGAAAAGTGTGAACAGTAAAAACTTTCAGGGTTAGCTGGGTCATTGGGTAATTTGTCTTATTTACTCAGTCACACCAACTCGCAATTATGTGGAGTCTGTAAAAAAAAGTTCTCCTACGTAAAAATAGAAGTAACCAGCCTGCCTCATAATTCTATTTCAGCTAAAGTAGTACCAAGTCGTGTGTTTAGATCATCCATCGGTGGCTTTCGAGCAAAAGCTCATGATTTAACTGAACTGAGCTCGAGACAAAACGTGTAATAACGCTAAAGACCCCGCAAATGCCTCAGGCTGATTCTTGATAGAGTTGAACTGAATTTGAGTCAAAACCAAACTCAAACCAGGTGGAAGCAGTAAAATATACCTTCTTCAACTGTAAAACTATAATACTTAGGTTATCACGATCTATCTGTCCTACTTATCCATTTTAGGAGGGTCGCACATGCATTGGACGAAATGTTTTCTAGATATATCACAATCCACCACAAAAAGCCACGGCTCAGGTCAGATTCTGGACCCGATGGTGGACGCAGGAACTTCTCCTCCTCGTGAAGTTCAGCAAACTAAAATGAGGACTTTGTTAACACCACAGCACACACCTGGAATCCCCCGAGGGTTTGTTGGACGGTCGACCAGCAGCCCTCTATGACATCTGGGCTAAGAAATCCAGTCTTCAGGTGTGGGCCCTCAGAACCACCACAGACACTGTGGCCTTTGTTTGCAGCCTGCGTTTGTGTTTACGTACGACAAGCACTGCAGTTTGCAACAAGAGCTCCAACAGACTGCAAGAAAACTTGTGGTCAACAGACGACGCTTCTCCACTGAGGTTGTCCTCAACTTGCACTTTTGACGCGATTTCATACTTTCTTCCTCCTCGTCAAAACCTGCAGCTTACCCACAATGCAAAAGGGATGAGTCAGTCTCAGCCGTCACTCAGGAGCTTTAACCCTCTTTAAAGCATTAAGAGCTAATTCAAACCACCAGAACTACCGAAGGTGACAGACACCAACTTTAAGAAAGATTTATTTATCTAACATAGTTTGACTTTTTGGTTTGATCGTCCCATCCACTTCCATTTTAAATGAAAACCCCCGGTTCAGAAACACTCCCCAAATCTCTTTTGAACTGAGCTTTGAAAAGAAAAAAGTCACCATATGTCACGCTGGAAACTGTTTCTAGGCACAAAAAGGAAGAAACAAGAACCAGAACCAGAATAAGTCATAAACTCCACGAGATAAGCAAGAACAGAAATGGCTGCAGCAGAGAAAAACTGCTGCACATCACAAACACAGACAACAGCTGTGTGTGATCTTCGTTAAATGCCCGCAGTCATTGGAAAGCATCTCGTCTTTCTTGTTAGCGTGCCATGTTCTGATCCGTTCCATAAATCTCCTCTGTCGTCTTCTGATGAGGGAAAGTGATAATCTGTGTAATAAATGGAGGCTTTCATGACGAGCCACCATTGTCATACAAGAAAATAGTAAATCCTCTCGAGAGTCAGACAAATAGTGATGAGGCCCAGAGGAATTCTGCATTTATTCCACGTCAATAGCTACTGCAACTGCTATTTGCCAGAAGAACTTTGATTTACTGAACTCTTGAGACGGGGTGGTGAGAGTTGACAATAGACGTCTGATAGCAACTACATGTCTGTTTCAGACAATGAGTTAACAGACAATTGTTCACGAATGTAAATGTTTGTCGTTTAAACACAACACAGTTTATAATCTGGGAAAGAACCTCTCTGGCAGCAGGATCATATGTAACTCATCTCCGAGCCTTTTGAAACCGGCTCTGTGTTTGTGAGACGCACATATGGTTCTCATGCATCCCGCACTGTGATGTTACACAAACTCCAGTCGTGATTCCTCCACATGTCGGAGACGCTGTTTGGTTCTTCAGGCTCGGAGCGAGACAGTTTGATTGGAAGGCATCAACAAGTTTGCATTTTTGTTTCACACGTTCACGGTGAAAGCAGGAGAAGATTCAGAATGAGATGTAATTCTTGTTCGATCTTGTTCTTTTAGAGATTCTCCACAGCGAGTGAAAGCTTTTATGTACCTGAGTGAAGAAGTTAATGCTTGTAGCCTCCACTGATTGAGTTACCTGCTAGAACAAGCTGCTCTGTCTGAATATAAGCAGAATGTCTTTGTTGTCATACCTGCATGGATTTTGAGGATATGTTGACGTGTGTTTTTGAGCTTAACTCCTGCCAGGAAGTAGATTTGGACTGATTTGTGAGATAATTCCTCGATCCACACCTAAATTAAAGGGCTTCTTCCCTTCCCTCGTGAAAATCTGTTGAGTTGTTTTTGTGTAATCTTGCTCACAATCATCCAAACCCACCAACAAACTATAACCACACTCACTAAAGCACAAACCTCCGCCATGGCCCAACAGTCTATTTAAATTCAGTCAAGCTATGTGTCGGAGGATTTGTTGTTGTTCTTTGTCTGTTTTGAAGTTCAAGTTCATATTTTGGAATTTTGAATTCCTTGTCCGGGAATAAAAGAAATAAGAAAAAGTCACGCTAGGCTTTTTGAAGTTTCGATCTGCATCTGCATATTTTACTCTGTAATTTTAATAATTTCCAACTGATCAGAAAGTTTCATCCTGCCAGGTTCCCATAACACCCTTTTCTCTGTGTGGTGTGTTTTATTAGTTTCTAGCGTCAGACAACATCAAGCAAGCTGACAAAATTACAACAGATTTCCAAACTGCAAACCTGATGGATGCTTTGGCTCGTTTAGTTCGCAATTGTTTCTTCCTGAGTAAAACAAGAGACACGTTATCATTGCTCGATATCACACACGCATGATTTATCTGAAACACAACCAGACTGTGATATCAATGCGTGGGACACAACGATAACCTGTTCAGAAGATCTTTTGCCAGCTGCAACCGTGCATCTGAATATACCGTTGTTTAATAAGATCCACCTTAAATTCTCACGCAAGCGTTCAGCTGTTCAGGTGCGGCATCTAAAACAGCTGGATATCAGAAACCCAAATACGCACAATGTCCATTATCCAAGATCAACGACCAACAGTGTATCTGGCAGCGCTGCCGCACAGTTGTTTGTTTTTGGACGAGGTCCACTGTGAATGGTTGAACTCACACAAACGGTACAGCTGCTGGTTCCACACAGCATCCATCCAACCGTTCCTCTGTAACCGCAGCATCTGAATCTTTCATAGACTGCCCCCACCTCATTAAATAAAAGGATGCTGGCACAATGCTGTCCTGCGTTTCTGATAAAACAAAA